TCCATCATCCACAAACTGCCAATGAATACAGCTTAATATAACTGAAACTTAAAAATATGAATGCATGATTCCTTTCCTCCACACTTTCATTTCAGTCATATTTATATGTATCCTCAATATAGCAAAAGCACTCTGGTCACCAACCAGTTGTTTCAAGATCTAAAACAAAATAAGAACATGATTGGAGTTTTGCAGTAGCTGCTCCAAATCTTCCCAACAGGTTACCTTTACATGTTTTAACTGCTGAGTTTATCGGAGTCTTCTGCATCGATTCTGAAAGTCTGTGCTTTCTCTCTGGCTTTTGATTCAATCAAGTTTGAGACCCATTTAGAGTTTTGTTTTGTTTCTTTATTACCCTTGATTGTTCTTTGAAATATCTCTTATGTTGAATTGTTTTTATTTAGAATTGCAAAGTATGTTGGTCACATTTTATTGCTACTTTTGAACTACACAAATTAGCTGACATTTTAGAAATCACAAGACACGAGTCATCATCCTTTGGAAAAATGAAAGGGAAATTTAGATGTGTGATCATTAGACACGGTAATGTGTTTTACATAAAAAAGCAAAGACAGAAGATCACCACAATGAACTCAAGTTGTCAAGCACGACAATGGAACGGTGATGGTTTGGGCTCATTCTGAAAGCTGCTTAATCCTGGCACCCCAGTTTCTGGCTGTTTTAGTGCACCACTAGAACATGTTTTTATTTCCTAAAATCAAAAACAGCAGCAACATACCAGGTAGTTTCTGAAGACATAAAGGATGTGAGATTTCAACACTAGACTTTACAGGGAGTGCAGAATTATTAGGCAAATGAGTATTTTGTCCACATCGTCCTCTTCATGCATGTTGTCTTACTCCAAGCTGTATAGGCTCGAAAGCCTACTACCAGTTAAGCATATTAGGTGGTGTGCATCTCTATAATGAGAAGGGGTGTGGTCTAATGACATCAACACCCTATATCAGGTGTGCATAATTATTAGGCAACTTCCTTTCCTTTGGAAAAATGGGTCAAAAGAAGGACTTGACAGGCTCAGAAAGGTCATAAATAGTGAGATATGTTGCAGAGGGATGCAGCAGTCTTAAAACTGCAACGCTTCTGAAGCGTGATCATCGAACAATCAAGCGTTTCATTCTAAATAGTCAACAGGGTCGCAAGAAGCGTGTGGACAAACCAAGGCGCAAAATAACTGCCCATGAAGTGAGAAAAGTCAAGCGTGCAGCTGCCAAGATGCCACTTGCCACCAGTTTGGCCACATTTCAGAGCTGCAATATCACTGGAGCGCCCAAAAGCACAAGGTGTGCAATACTCAGAGACATGGCCAAGGTAAGAAAGGCTGAAAGACGACCACCACTGAACAAGACACACAAGCTGAAACGTCAAGACTGGGCCAAGAAATATCTCAAGACTGGTTTTTCTAAGGTTTTATGGACTGATGACATGAGAGTGAGTCTTGATGGGCCAGATGGATGGGCCCGTGGCTGGACTGGTAAAGGGCAGAGAGCTCCAGTCCCACTCAGACGCCAGCAAGGTGGAGGTGGAGTACTGGTTTGGGCTGGTATCATCAAAGATGAGCTTGGGGAGCCTTTTCAGGTTGAGGATGGAGTCGAGCTCAACTCCCAGTCCTACTGCCAGTTTCTGGAAGACACCTTCTTCAAGCAGTGGTACAGGAAGAAGTCTGCATCCTTCAAGAAAAACATGATTTTCATGCAGGACAACGCTCCATCACACGCGTCCAAGTACTCCACAGCGTGGCTGGCAAGAAAGGGTCTAAAAGAAGAAAAACTAATGACATGGCCTCCTTGTTCACCTGATCTGAACCCCATTGAGAACCTGTGGTCCATCATCAAATGTGAGATTTACAAGGAGGGAAAACGGTACACCTCTCTGAACCGTGTCTGGGAGGCTGTGGTTGCTGCTGCACGCAATGTTGATGGTGAACAGATCAAAACACTGACAGAGTCCATGGATGGCAGGCTTTTGAGTGTCCTTGCAAAGAAAGGTGGCTATACTGGTCGCTGATTTGTTTTTGTATTGTTTTTGAATATCAGAAATGTATATTTGGGAATGTGGAGATGTTATACTGGTTTCACTGGTAAACATAAATAATTGAAATGGGTATATATTTGTTTTTTGTTAAGTTGCCTAATAATTATGCACAGTGATAGTCACCTGCACACACAGATATCCCCCTCAAATAGCTACAACTAAAAACTACTTCCAAAAACATTCAGCTTTGATATTAATGAGTTTTTTGGGTTCATTGAGAACATGGTTGTTGTTCAATAATACAATTATTCCTCAAAAATACAACTTGACTAATAATTCTGCACTCCCTGTACTTGTTGATGCAAATAAATTCTTCAGGAAATTGAAAAGAACAAAACAGCAGCCTGCTTTAAAGTCTATGTTCTCCCTCTAACCCAGACCCCCCCCCCATGCTTACAGGACTGCAGCAGGCTGTCTTCCATATAAATTATGCTGTGCTGCTACCCTATTCGTCTAGAAAACTGCAATCCATGATATCAACTGTGGTATGCATGGAAGATCGTTCCATTTCTAAACTTACAGGATTTAAGTGATTTATTGAAATGATACAATGGTTGTTCTAAGTTAAACTAAAATTCATCATACGGCTTCATTTGTAGGAATTAGATCAGGAACAAATGTCCATTCAGCTGCTTTATAACTTTAGCTTCAAAATAAGGTTGTCAATTGGAGAAAAGTATTTTCTGCTGACTAAACAAGAATCCCTGCAGGTGTGATGCTAATCTAGCAGATAGATGAACATCTGTTTTATACTTCACATGAAGACAGACTGAGCAAGAAGAAATGTACCTGCATGCTTAAGGTATGGAAAAAGGCCGAAATCAAGAGAGTCTGAGCAACATAAAGTAACAGTCATGATTAAAAGGTGCTAATTTTCTATCACCTCCATTTAAAAACAGAAAAGGTACAAACTGAGAATTTCTCCTGATGGCACACTAAGCCGAATTGTGCTTAATCTGTACACTGTTTCTTACTGCCATCTAGTGGTCCAACTCAGTATAACAGCTCACTGGCTGATTGTCTTGCATGAAGTACTGAACACATTCATTTTCCAATTTCTTAAAATAGAATATTTGTGTCATCAGAAAACCAACATAGTAATAAATTCAATGAGTCATTGTGTTTATTGAAGTTTAGAACGGCTGGCTGTAAAATATTCGATTTGGTCATCCAGCTCATTTCCTGGAGTACATCAGTGAAAAAGCCTCCAGTGATGAACTGCTAAGTGAATGTCTCAGGAAGCAGAAACCCGATGAGAGATGAGGTGATGTACGAGGTGGAGCAGGAGGAACGGTCATGGAGGTCTAAGGGCTTGTAAGGTATGTACCACATGGAGATCGAGGAAGTGGCTGATATTCAGAAATCCTACCAGTGGATGGAAAAGGGTGGACTGAAGGACAGAACACAAGAGTCTAAAGGCAGATGCTGTGAAGGCTACTCTGAGAAAGTCCAGCACGCAATAGCTGAATTTGAGATGCAAACAGGCTAAATGTCCATGGGACGCCAAATCCTGGTGGCTGGATTAAGGCATGGAAACATTGGCGATGAGTATGGTCAAAGTGGGAGGCTCTGACCAGTCTAAGATACTGTAGAAGAAAATATCATTTCTATAGCGCCTCTCAAGATAAAAATCACGAGGCGCTTCACAAAAGCAAAAAATGTAAAAATATGAAAAAGAATTTAGAAAATGGTTAAAAATATATTCAAAATGAGCAAAAAAATAGACAATTGTGATAAAAATATGTCTGTAAAAAATCAATGTCTGACTGTAGTACTTCAACCCCTAAAACGTGGAGAACTCTGTAGAAGAGCACAGTTCTAGGATCAGAGATGATAGTGAAGAACTCTGAAGCTCCTAGTGCAAACACCCATGTAGAAAAATGGACCACTGCTGATGAGGGACAAAATTCAACAAAGCCAGTCAGTCCTTTTGGACACACATTTAGAGAAATGAACTGACTTAAAGCCACAACGGCAAATTTGGAAAACAAGCTAGCCTAAAACATGTTTACATGCCTCTCAACAATGTTCTAACATGGTATAGCTATAAATATACTTGAGATTAAAAAATGAAAAGAACGAAAGAAGTAGTTATCTCGCATTTGTCTAAAAACTTCAGCCAATGACATGGCTCAGACCGTAAGCAAAGACTGGACAGTCCATCTCACGAACCACCACACTTACGCATTTACTTCATCACGCACCTGTGCATGTAGCAACAGAACACCACTGGTGTTAGAGGTGCTCCGCTCAATAACACCGAAGGAGAAACAGCTGGCTGCTACCACTTCAACTTCAACTATCAGAGTCCCAAAAAGAAATGCACCATTTGAAGTCACGGACAACAAAAGACATTTGAACCTAGAAAATGGCGACTGGTGTTTAGCACTCTCTCGTTTCCTCTAGCAATGTGGGTTTCGGTATTTGGCGGATGTGGCCCAAGGATGATGCCCAACGGGAGAGGTGAGTGTTCTGTGGCCGTGTTTGTGTTTAAAAGCTAGCTTGTTTTGTATGGAACTAGGATCGGGACAATATTACATTTAACTTGTACCAAGTTTTGTAACTTGTAACATGTTCTGTAACTGACTTTTGTTTTGTAGCATGCAATTCGTGGTTTGTAACACATAACTTTTGTTTTGCAACAAGTAACTTTCATTTTGTATCACATAACTTTCATTTTGTAACAGGTAACTTCGGTACATTTCTTTCTTTATTGAACATGTAAATCCATAGACAAATTAAAGTATTCAAAAAGTATTCAAAAAGAAACCCATACATATGTATTTGCATATATATATATATATATATATATATATATATATATATATATATATATATATATATATATATATATATATATATATATATATATGTAGAACATAACATGAAACTTATTTTGTAACTTGCAGAAAAAAAATCAATGTACAAGTTTCAAATCACAACTTTCAAAACACAAATCTCAGTCTACAGTTTCGTGTTACGTGTAACAAAACGAAAGTTACATGTTACAAAATGAGAATTACAAGTTACAAAATAGAAGTTACGTGTTACGAAACAAGAATTACATGCTACAAAATGAAAGTTACAGGTTACAAAACTTGGTACAACTTACATGTACTATTATCCCAATCCTAGTTCCATACGTTTGCAGATTTGCTGTTGCATCTTTAATTAGTGACTTATCGACATCTTATAGGCTGCATAAATACGAACTTACTTGAAACTACGTGTAGTTCAAACCCACTTGAAGGCTAGTTTAGAAGACAATATTAAAAAGGTGCATTCAACGCAAGTCAGTCATTAGAAAACACATGCACAATAAGACCAGCATGCAGAAATCGAGGTTATTATCTACACACCGGTGCAAAGTTGATTTTAATTCAGACCAAAACATGAACATTAGGTTGGAAAATTAGTTGATGCATGTCAGAGTTAGGTGCACCAGCACAAATCTTTGCAAACATGGGGCTCTATGTTAGCTTAGAGCACACAAACGTTTCATTAGTTCCTAGTTGGTTTTAAATAGACCATGCAACAATCAAAATGTAGCTCAGTAGGGCTCATCTTTAACTTTCATCAAAAGTGTGTGGAGCAACATGCAAGAGCGTAACACAGCACTGGGAGTCATGGACATACAGTGGATGTATGATTCAAAGCCACATCAGGAACTAGATGCAAATGATAGGGGTCCAGGCTGACTTAAGCCGACTGGAGATGGTGTTAGCCAGGTCATCATGCATGGGACACGTAAATGGAGAGGGAGAGGAAAAAGAACTACAACCGATGTTCCACGCTAGACAAAGTGTGACCTTTACATACCCAAAAAGAGCCTCTTAGGGATTCGGACTTCCTCGTCCTTACTGTCTGTTGCTACAGACAAAAGAGAAATAAAACATAGAGCTTGGTTTTTTTTATTCATTTGATGTAAAAAGGCCTGCAGAACGTCTGGTCTCAGAACATTTGGTGCAAAAAGATAAAACTGAAGCAGCTTTGCCGACACAAGAATGACTTATATTCGGCCATCTTTAAAGGTCTTGAGTACACTTGAGTTCACTGGGAACCTTACGGTTAAAACCTTTAAACTGAATTTTAATATTTAAATGTAGACTCAGGAGGATGTCCTTCAGTCTTTACTAGATCCTTTTTTCTTCCACATTCAGATTTATATGATCTAAACATTTAGATTTATCTACAGATAAAAGGTTTTAAACAATGGTTGCCCAATAGCAAACGGGGCTATTGCAGTGCTAGCGTTATTGTTTCAGGAACTGTTTGGACTCCTTTATTTTAATATATTACTGTCAGCTTATGAACATCAATACTTGTTATTCAAATTCACTTCTCTCCACATTTGTATGAAGGGCTGCAAACCATGTTGCAGATTTTATAACCGTCTATGTGCAACATGGTTTTGGGCAGACCACACACAGCCTAAAGACCCATGGCGACTCCTCTCTCCCACTGCTGTACTAAACACAGGAGGATGTGTCCAGAGCCCCATCCTGCACAAACCGTTCACATACGACTGTTTTTTTAAAAGATATCCCGGTACTGTACTTGGTCATCATAAATGTTTATAGATGACACTGTTGTTGTTGGTTTGATTGGTATAAGGGAGACAAAATATGTCATTGTGGAAAAGAATAAAGAGGCAATGGACAGTTTACGCTCGCATGAACCCCAATTAATGAAAGAGAGGCTGAGGAAGTGGTGAAAACAGCTACGATTCCAAACGTTTTCCCACACAGGCCAAAACCATCAAAAGTACCTTTGGGCCGTCCTACTTTGATTTGTTCTCAATTAGAAAATACATTTATTTATTTATTTATTATTTTTTTTAGAAGTTAGGATTTTTATTTTCTACTCACTCAATTATAACATATGCGTGAAACTGGAAAAATTATAATATAGTGTAAAAGTTAGTTTATTTCAGTAATTCGGCTTAGACTGAGAGACCATCTAAAGGCTCAGGAACCCTTTTCAGGTGTTTTGGAATCATTAGCTGATTAGAGTGAGACACTGAGTCTAGAATATTGAACTTTCACAGTTTTCTAACTGTCTGAGATTTTGAATGTGGGGTTTTCATCAGCTGAAGCCATAATCATCAGTTATAACAGATAAAGACTTAAAATATCTGGCTTTGCATGTAATATCTACCTTTTGTAGACTGATTTATAGACTCAAAGTCTTCAAGTTTCACCTGAAACCGCTTAATCCAATAAAAAGAACAGAAGGGCATAAGTTTTGTATTTTTTTATTAAAATTAAAGAAAATCTTAATGTATTTGTCTCTTAGAAATTTCTTGAACCGTTTATTGTTCAATTGATGTGAAAACCGAGCACATCACTCTTGTTCTTAAGTCTCTACACTGGTTCCCAGTAAATTACAGAATGTAGTTCAAAGTGCTTCTACTAGTTTATAAATCACTCAATGGCACAGGGTTAAAATACATGTCTGATCTCCCTCCTGTACATACGCCCAGCAGGTCTGAGATCCTTAGGAAGCGGTCAGCTGGTAGAACCCCGGGTCAGAACCAAACAGGGTGAAGGTTTAGCCACTGTGCTGCTCACAGATGGAATCAGCTTCATCATGACCTCAAATGTGCCCCAACTCTAGTGACTTTGAAGTCAAAATTGAAAACTTTCATGTATTCATCAGCCTTTGAAAGACTGATACCAACCTGTCATTTTAAACACACTTGTCAGCTTTATAAATGTTTTGTTTAGTTTGTTTTAACCAGGCCTCGCATTTATGAACTTTACCCTTAAAATGTCCTGAAAACACAGCTAAAACATTCACCTGTGCTGACAGACCACAAAGTACCCTTTCTGTAAAAATAGGGTCATGGGTAATTGCTCTAAAGGTCGTAAATGACCTGTGGGGATGCACTTTGAACACAACAAAAATGACATCTTTATAACTTGTGGTTTGCATTTTGTTGAGCATAAAACCACACGGACATGTTTTAAGCATGCTCCTGTTCACCAGGCCACAAGAAACAGTGACCGCCCCTCACACACAGTTTGAGGAACACCTGAGTGTTTGTTGAGCCTGACCTAGGAAGGAGCGTCTCTTGGTGTTGAGCTCAGCCGCCAAGCGAACATTGGTGCACAGGTTCAGCATCACCAGCATGGTGCCAATCATGATGATGCTCTGCCAAAGCAGTAGTGTCTCAAAGTAGTGGCCAAATCTGAAATGAAAAATAAAAGAAGGAAAAAAGGGTGTTGCGTGTGAGATGCTCAGCTGTTGTGAGAACAAAATAATTTCAAAAATACAATGGAAACTTCACAGAACATCTCTTTAAGAAGGTCACCATCCACACCAGGGTGGACGGTCCAGTGGATCCAAGTCCAGTAAAAAACTCCTTGGTTGGAAGCACAATATAAAAAGGTGACTTACCCTACTGCAAGTGAGAAACCATGTAAAACTTCAGTCCTTTCGTTCTTCTTAAAATAAGATCGTCACTTTGAGTTTTTTATGCAGGCTGAACATGAAAATAGTCTCCTACACATATCTTCTGCACTCGATTCTCATAGAAAATAGATGGGGAAATGCTCCGCTTTGAAAGTTCTGACAGATCTATATCACATCGTCGCTGACTGTTCATGGACTCACCCATCTTGACTTGTGATGGGGAAGGCTGTTGTTGGTTTAGCATCTAAGAAACAGCAGAGAACGTCCTGGCTAGTGGAAGCTAACAGTTAGCATTAGCAAGTCCACCACACAGCAGAACTCCTTCAGATTTGTGTTATTTGTGGAGACAAAACATCAATGTTGCAGAGCATATGGGGTCAGTGGCAGAGTCGTGTTGCTCTTAGTAATAAAACTCCAAATCCTGTTGTGTTCAGCTCAGCTCTGATCTGGCTCACTTCTAGTTCCCCTGAATACAACTTACATTCATTCATTCCTACTAGAGACCACTGTAAATGTTTTAAAGATGAATAAAGCACCACTTAAAGTCCTGAAACAGCTGCAGAATAGAAAGAGGGAAAAACGGTCGGGTCACAAAAAGTCAGTCTCTTCTATGTCACGGAGTAAATTTGCATTCATGGCCCTGCCCACCTTGGCTTGCAACTGTATTGATTTGTATTGATTAAACACATCATAAACACACTATAGAGTAGATGTGACCGCATTGTTGGCAGGATACCCCCAGAAAAGCGTTATGCCCCCTGCTGTCCTGGTGGGGAATTGCTTCACAATACGGACACAAAAACGGAGACGTATAAAAGGAAAACATCTCCATCAATAAGAGTGTGTATGTGAGCGCAAACATGCTGACGGAGATGCATAAACTAGGCTGGTAAATGCTAAAATGTCCATATAAGCTTTACTGCCAGAGGTTAAACTAGTATTCATGTAACTGTGCATATACTTGAAAAAAACTCTGAATACTGTGAATAGATAAGGAATTATATAATTACTAGCTAAAATGGTATTTAGAATGATATGCACCTTGGACTAAATGTTAAAACGGCTTGCCATACAGGGCTTTGTACACACCATGAGAAATCCTAACTCCACCCCTAGTCAAGATTTGAAAAATGCTATGAAACTGGGCGTTATCAGGAGGCACAGAGTGGCATGGCCAAGTGTGGGGAATTTCCGTTTCAGGAGGGAGGGGGAGTGGGAGGAGACTGTACCGATGACGTGAAATTGTTCCAGCACCAGTCAATCACAAGTTTAAAATACAGAGGTTCCGGGCAAGATGGCGGAGTAACCGGACTTTCGACACGGTCTCTCCTGACAATATAATATAAATAGAGCTACCCTAGCTAACACTAAACCAAAACTGGTCACTTTACTCTTCAATTTCCACCTCACGAAATATTAGACGGAAAACAGAAGCCTTTCGACGTTGGAAACAAGAAGAAACTGGAACGAAAATGGCGGCCAACAAGAGAAAGTCAAATGCTACAGGTGACACGCCTACAAATGCGCTCAGCTAAAACCGCAAGACTCTAGATGATGACGATTTTGCTGAGAATATAATCGCCTCAATAACAGGGATCATAAATGAAAGAGCGGATGGTTTACAAACCAGTACAAATGAACTAAAAGAGTATGTGGAATTTGTGCATTCCGAGCTAAAAGACGTGAGAGGTAAAATGGCGGGAACCATAGGCAGAGATAACAAAACAGAGAAAAACTACAAGAAATGGAAAACAAGATACTTGAGTTATCTAGATATAAAAGAATTCAATTCAAATTCCAAAAAAACTTTAATCATCCCCGAGGGGCAATTGTTTAGAAGATGGGACCTACGTCTGTTTGGCCTGAAAGAAGAAAAAGGTGTAAACATCCGAACCAAAGTCATCACTATCTGTCAGAAAGTGGAGCCTAGCTTCAAAGACAAGTACCCAGATGTCATCGACAGCGTTCATCGTATGGGTCGAGCCGCCAAAGATGGACGTCCTCGAGGAATCATCATCCAGTTCTCCACGAGAGATTTTCATCGTGATGCGGTGTGGAAGACCGCAAAAAAATCGTCTTTCCTAAAGGCGGAGAATCTACGTTTTAAGGAAGATTTTTCACCTGAGGATTGCCTTCAAAGAAGCCTGATTTGGCCCGTGGTCGAGAAAGCACGAAAAGAAGGGAACGTGGCCTTCTTTGCGGGAGCCAGGGCCTTCTTCATCGACGAAGGGAAAAAAAAGAGAACTCTATGCCCCAAACATTTGTACCACAGAGTATAAAGTTGTGGGGAAGAATACACAAAACAATGCTGGTTAGTGTTAAAATGAAAATACATAGTTAATTTAAATGCAGCTCAATTGTTTTATTCTATACGTTTTTGTTATGGGAGCCTGTCACTTATCACTGTTTTTGTTTTATGTCTACATAAACGTTCCATCGTTATAAGACAACATTTCAGGTTTAAAACTAGTTTCGTTTAACGCACGAGGATTAAAAGATAACACTAAAAGAAAGGCAGTCCACACAGTGGGGAAATGAGATATGGATCTCTCTTGTCTCAAATCAGTCAGCAGGTGTCGCAATTTTAAAACAACTTCAGTGGGAAGGTTCAATAATCTACCTCAGACGCAAATGGTCATTACATACTTTTAATTTTAATGCTAGATGAAAACGTAAACCTTTTAGGATGTGTTTATGGCTGCAATTCGAAAAAGGAAAATTCTGAACTCTTTGATATCCTGGAAAATAAAATAACTAATTTATCAAAAACAAACAAAACTCTTTATATTAGGTGGAGATTTCAACTTTACCTTTAATGATAACATAGACAGATTTCCTGCCAAAAATTCAACCACAAATGCAAGCTTAAGCAACTTTATGTGCACATTTGGGTTGGTGGATATATGGAGAAAAGCTAACAGAGATAAAATTGACTTTACATGGCAAAATAAATCCGGCTCATCAAAATCAAGAACAGATTTTTGGTTTTTTGGTTAACAGCAGAGAAAATAAAATGTGACATTATACCTGCACCTCTTTCAGACCACCCTTGATCTGAATAACTCAAGCCCTCTCAAAGAAAACAGGACTTTTACATATTGGAAACTTAATAATTCACTCTTACAAAAAACCGAACCAGGGAAAAATATGAAAGAAACAATAGAAAAGCACTGGATTATTGCATACTCTCAAAACTCATTCAGAAATAAATGGGAATTATTAAAATATGAATTAAGGAAAACATTAATGAAAGCAGGCACAGAGCATGCAAAAGTTGTAAAAGAAAAGGAAATAAAAATAGTAAAAGAAATCATATCCCTACGTTATATTTTACCAGGAAATCTATCAGAAAATGACCACGCTAGATTAAAGGATCTACAAATTAATCTTGACAACATGTATATCTCTAAAGCTAAAGGAGCATTTATATGCTCAAGAAAGAAATGGCTACAAGAGGGTGAGCAAAATACTTTTCTTTTTTAAACTAGAGAAACAACATAAAAAAATCTACTCAATTACAAAACTGAAAATAGATAACAACAATTTGCGAAGACCCTACACAAATTTCAGAATTCTGTGAAAATTTTTACAAAAATCTTTATAACACAAAAATCTCAGATGACAGAGTGGATCAATTTAAGAATTCTCTAAATAATTTTAAACAAATAGTGAATCCAAAAAAAAAAGATTGCGACTCCCAGATCACTAGCAAAGACATAGAATTTGCCATTAACAAACTAAAATTTAATAAATCTCCGAGCACGGATGGGCTAACTAGAGTTTTACAAGAAATATTCCAAGGAATTATCACCATTCTTATACAAAGTTTGTCAAAAGCTTAGAATACGGAGCACTTCCTCCAACAATGTCAGGGGTGGACATTAACTTCAAAACCGACCTGCCAGCCGGGCCGGTAACTCTGAATATTTACCGGCCCCGCTGGTCAGCAGCCAAAACGAGTCAAAATAACAACTGAACCGTTTTAAATGTAATAAACCTTTATTTTGTACACGTTCACAAACATAATAACATATTCAAGTTTGAATTTGTTTGTTCCCTCAACAAAACACGATTTTGTCGTCGCATACTTCAGGCATACAACGCAGTACATCACCAACTCCGCTTTGCTGTACTCGAGCCATTGGCTGTGTTCAAGATGAGCCAGTTCTGCGCAGATTAGACCAGCGGTGATCGGCGAGCAGTGCATGCCGGTTAGATTTGTGTCCGACTTGACGCCGACTTGCTCTGACGTCATGCAAACGTAGGCAACGATAACCTCGTGAGATCAAGGCGGCCGCAGATTTTGGAGCAAGACCCTGCAGTTGCTCTCCCTCGGCTGTAAAACCTAGAGGATGACGGGAAACGCCTGGCTCTCACCTGATCTAAGATCTGATTGGTTCATATTTTGATCCAACCATCCGGTGGTAGAACATGAAATGTTAGTTGTTCACATGTATTCTGTAAATCATGTTATGTTGATGATGACAACTATATAGGCCATAAAGATAAATGTGTTTTGTTTTCTTTTGTCACGTTTCCTATGAGCACACTGAAGCTACAGCTGATGACCTTTACTTATTATTACAGTCATGTTGTCATATAGAATATATGATATCCACAAGCTCGTGAGGATGTGTTTCAGCTGCTAACAGGCACCAGAATTAAAATTGAAAATTGAACAAGTGTGAATGCTAACGCGATATCTTCAGCCATCGTCACCCCGAGCTACACATGTAGGGAAATCTGTCCGACTTAAACACCGACTTTAAGCCACTCCCCCTGCTGCTTCCGTCTGCTCTCGTCTGCTTTCCAGGCGAGGCGCTGCTCAACTCGAACACGGCCATTCTCTGTGCCTCCCGTCTTCTTTAAACCGCCAAGAATCATTCCACCTACGCACACGCTTCTCTGCTTCATACCGTTTCGAACTGTCTCGCTTCTCCTCACCAGTTTTAAAGCGTTTTGCCGGAGATTTCATCAATACATCTTTATACCAATAGCAACGCAACTATAAAACTATCCAGTGGTGGCTCCAAAAGATTTTATATCAAAAGAGGCCTTAGACAAGGCTGCCCAGCCTCTCCCTACTTATTTATATTAGCAATGCAAATCTTATCGACTATTATTAAAAACAGTGACTTACAAGGTATACATATGGCTATTAGATACTTTATCATCTCCCAACTCACTGAAGATACAGCCCTCTTTCTGAAAAACAAAAATGAAATTAAAAAAGCCCTTGAAAGTATCAGTTCATTCTCCAAGGCCTCAGGATTAACGATAAATATTAGCAGTGCCCCTTAAAACTACTTCTGAAAAAGAGTTATACGGCATCCCAATAAAAAACATTATTAAATACTTAGGAATAACCATACAAAAAATGAAGGTATAAAATCATTAGAAAACTTTAATCCCTTGATAAAATCTGTAGAACAAAGATTTAACCTCTGGCTCCAGAGGGACCTCTCCCTTGCTGGGAGATCTCTGATAACAAAGGCAGAAGGATTATCTCGACTAGTTTACACGGCTCTTGCTCTAGAGGTCCCACAAAAATGCTGTGCCACTATAGATAAATTAATCTTCAACTTTATATGGAAAAATAAATGCCATCTCATTAAAAAAACGTCATGATGAATAGGCCGGACAGAGGCGGAATTGATGCATTAGATTTTTCATCGCTAAACACTACTTTTTAAATCAAATACGTTAAAAACCTTTTAAAAAATCCTTATTCTATATGGAAAGCAATACCTTTATACATTTTTAATACGGTTGGCGGTTTACCATTTTTACTAAGATGTAACTACAACGAGCTTAGAATCCCGCTGAAACTATCACTTTATCACAAGCAAATGTTACTACGCTGGTCACTCATGTACAAACACAACTTTTCACCTCACAAATACTACATTTGGAACAATAATGATATTAAATACAAGAATAAAACACTTTTCAGTAAAAAGTGGTATGATAAAGGCATAATCTTGGTCAGTCAGTTGCTGGATGCAAATGGTAATTTACTGTCATACTCACAATTCATGACTCTTTACCAATTCCCTGTGCCAACCAAAGACTACGCTGTTATATTTGATGCAATGCCCAACGGCGTACTTCAACTTCTATCATCAGCACCCAAAGGAAACGATGTCATCACACCTTCATTTGATCCAAAGGACATTTTCATTGACTCAGACTATCCTTTTATACGCAACAGTGTCTAACAAAGTCATTAGAAACACGGTTATGAGAAATGTTGCATCTTCACCAGCATGTATATTTTACTGGTCCAACACCTTTGAAAATATTGACTGGAAGTGGACATGGTTGCTACCAAGAAAATATTTACTGTTTAACAAAATTATTCACAGATGCTATCCGGTTAAAGCTTTTCTACAAAAAAAAGATATAAATGGGAAACGGATTGCTCGTGTACGTTCTGTAAAAATGATGATGAATGTCTGTTACACTTGTTCTGGGACTGCACTTATACGAACATCTTTTGGACTGACCTGATGAATCTTCTAAACAGAAAG